AGGAATCAGATGCTGTCTTCTAGTCTCTGAGGGCACCAGACACACGTAGTACACAGACATACATGTGGGCAAAACACCCATACACATAAAACTAAATCTTTTTTCTTCAACCGAGTTTAACCATTGTACCCATCTTCCTTTTTTCTTTGGAATGTTGTAGGGTTTTCTCTTTCTCACTCATTTGGGCTCAGTGTTTCTATCCAGCACCAGCTGGCCACACTGATTTGGGCCTGCAGCAAGGCAGGGGTTGCCCTCTTCAGGAGCTGGGGTGGGGCGGGGGAAGGATGAGAGAGACTGTACTAGCTGCCTCTTTGCAGGTTTGTCCCATCCAGGTCGCCAGCCTCCTGCATGGCGCTGCTCACCGTCAGGCAGGAAACCCCCTTGCAGACAGACAGACCCCCAAACTCTGCTTTACTGCTTTCCTAGGTATTTCTCAGCCCAGCCCAGTTAACAATCAGTATTAACCAGGGGAGCTTATTGTGGTTCAGCGCTTTTGTGTTAGGAGGCAGACTAGCTGCATGGTAAGACTTAAGGAAAAACAAACGAACAAACAACAAAAACCTGAGTATCTGTCACTTGTCTCCAGGACACAGTGCTGAAACATTTCTGCATCATTTTTTTTCCACCGTAATATTTTCACTTCTTTTCTTTTTGGATGTCCTTATGTGATGATGAAACTCCTGGGTTAGGTCCATCATGCTCTGTCTCTCTTTTATGTGTGTTCCCTACATTTCCCCCTTTCCTTACCTTTCTTTTCATTCCCTCTTTTCCTACTTTCCTTTCAAGTTTTTGTTAGTTGTTTATCCCTTATTCCCACTTCTACCCTGTCTTCCCCTTGCCCACCCCAGTCCAACCCTTCCTGTTCCATTATTTCTTTACCCCTTCGTACCTTTATTTCCCTTCCTTTAATTAACACTCCCATTACCCCCTACTAAGTTCGTGACCTCTATGGATATTCAGAATGAAACACACATATCTAAAGATTCAAAACTAATGTCTATACAAAAGAGAAAGCATGTTTAAGTCTGACTTACCAGCATAATTGTAGAAGGCCGCAGCCACATTCTCCATTATCAAGATGGCGCTGACATCCGGCTTCACCGCCAGGTGAACGCACATGTGCTCGGTAATTTCCCACTGAGTCCCCGCCTACTCCCGAGGCATCACCTGGGACTGGGAGCAGCGGACCTATCCAAGAGTGACACGTCCAAAGCAGGGTCTGTTTCCTTTATAAGGGATGGGTTCCATCTTATCTGGGTCTCCGCCATGTGGCTTATGCTCTAGCTCCCAAGAGACATAAAGCTTTTCTGCAGAAGGATCCTATGTGTACCGCGTGGTTCTTGCTGGCGAGACGGTAGCGCGGGACACATAATTATTTCTAACTCCACCTATTTGTCTGTTAATTTTCTAATTTGTTTATCGTAATAACTGAATAATATTCCCTTGTGTGCATGTACCACATTTCCATCATTTATTCCTTAGTTGATGGGCGTCTAGGTTGTTTCTAGACTATTGTAACTAGAGCAGCAATGAACACAGATGAGCAGGTGTCTCTAGCATAGAATGTAGGGTTCTTTGGGTATATTGCCAAATCACATCGTGATAGATCTAACTTTTTGAGGAACCTCCACACTGATGTGTGTGGTGGCTTCACCGGTTTGCACTCCCACCAGCAGTAAGTAGTGAGCCTCAAAAGTGCAGGTGCTGGTGATAATTTCCTAAACAGAAGGGCCCTGACTGGGTAAACAGGATTGTTAGTGGGTAAACAGAAACCTAAACTCAGCATTCCACAGGAATCTCATGAGGCAGGTTTCCATTTACCAGGGAAACCATTACCTCCCTTATCCATCCCAACGGACAGCTACCTCTGGCAAGGGTGACTAGTTCCTGATTAATCTGAACAGCCTGCATCAGCTCAAAGACCAACCCCCCAACCCCCAAGCCACTTACCCCACCCCCGCTAACTATCACAAAGTCTGCTGGCTCTCCCACTGAACTCTTGTCTGTTATTCTTGGAGACACCTAGGCAGTTTGTTCCCCCAGTAACTTTTCTTTCGGCCCATGAAGTGATGCGCAGTCTCCCTGGGCTCTCACTTAACAGTTACCTGCTTGTGACCCCGGTTCCTGGTGCTCTCAGATTTGAAGTGGTTGTCCCTGACTATGGAAGTTCCCTGAATGGGAGGCAGACCTAGCAGGGTGTGGCCCCATTATCCACAAGAAGTTAGTTTAAATGGATTCCTATAGATGCTGTATCCAAGGTTCCTAAACACCTTGGAGAGCGGAGCTCAGGCCCCTTAGGACTCATTGATCCTCCAGTGACTGGAAGGACCGGGACCTTTTTGTGACAGCAGAAACATCCATTTCTCTAGTACCCTTTATGCATACAGTAATTACATTGATCTTTTTCTATGGGTGTTTGTCTATTCACCCATTTTTTTTTTATTGTCAAGGTTTAATTTTTCTTTAGACTAGGTCATTCAGTGGTCCAGAATGGGCCAATTCTGAAGGCAGCGAGCACATTTTAGCCTGTCTCTGTGCTGCCCCGTCTACAGTCTAGCCTGTCTTTATTTTCTCAGTGTCTCAGTTATGAGAACCTCTTTGGCACTTTTAGAAGCTGAGACGTGTTTGTGTCCCCATGAAACCCTCAAGTTTTGGGAGCTTTTTCTTGACTTGGTAACAAAAGCCAAAATTAGAGCCTGCCCATTCTAGAGAGTCCAAAGGAATGTATGATTTGAAAGCTTCTCATTAATTAAGCATTCAAGGAATGCCTGGTGGGCATATTAGGGTCCCATTTGGAGTGGGTAGAAGGGAAAACCTCCAGTTTTCTACCCTCTGCAGGCAGCTGTGGCCAAGAAAATCCCAACATACTTCATTCCTCAGAGTGAACAGTAAAAAGCAATTGTTAACGATCATCCCAGGTGGGTCCATGGGTTTGTAGAATAGACTCAACAAGAGAGGTCAGGGCTGTGGTTTTTCAGAGATTAGGGCATTTAAGATGGGCATTGGTGGCGCACACCTTTAATCCGAGCAGGATAATCTCTATGAGTTCAAGGTCAACCTGGTCTATAAGAGCTAGTTCCAGGACAGGATCCAAAGCTAAAGAGAAACCATGTCTTGAACCCCCCCCCCCCCAAAAAAAAAACCATTCAAAAAAACCAAAACAAACAAAAACAAAGCTCCAGAGATTAGGGCATTTGGAGTCTATCAGTTCTAGAGGTCTGCTGTAGAGAAAGAAATCAGGAATGAGCCTTGGTCTGTACCTGGGGTGGTAGGCCTCTCTAAGGTGGAAAGCAGGAGACAAGAATAGCCTCAACATCTTTTCATGGCTCCCCTTCCATGCACACTCATATTACAGAAATACACCCTCAACTTTAAAGCCACACAAGTAGCTCAGACACCTTATTAACCAGGGCCCTAGGTCAATAGATTAGATAAAGGCCTATGATTCTGCATCTCTAAGAGGCTCTTGGGTGAGGCCAACACTGTGTGTCACCTGTCAATCATCAGATGCTGTCCTAAGTAAGAGTGAAGCCTGAACTTGGAGGTGTAACAGTGTTGGTGAATTCCTCTAGCCTACAGGAGGCCTTAGATTTGATCTCTGGCACCAAATAATTCCTTAACTTTAATATAAATGCGTCTTTACTTTCCTTGCCCCTCGGCGGCTCCCTGTTGCCCGCTGACCTTATGCCACACTTCGTATATAACTAACTCATCGGCCTCTCTGTCCCCCACATTCAGTCAATCATTTGCAGCTCCCCAGAGAACTGCGCTCTGCTGTTCTCACAAGGAATGCATCTGTTATCTCAGCCACCAGCTCGTTCCTACTCTGTTGGTGAGCTTCTCCAAGCCGTTAGCCCCTCTGGTGGGATGACCCAGGAGCTACCAGGAGTCTTCCCAGTCTTGCCTCTGTATCCTCACACCCAGACAGCTTTCACTGTACCTGCCCCCCTGTCGTCAGTCCCTTAGCCCTTGCCTGCTGACTTGTGAGCTTTCCCATTACTCTGGGGTGATGAGGAAGGTGTATCCGTTGCTGAGGAATGACCAAGATGGCCCTTTTCTCAGTGTCGCGTAGGAGACCACTGGAGAAGACAACTGTCACTTGACAAGTGCCTCAGGAAGCTGTCAGAGACGAGTAGCGGGCCTCTTTGACGCCTCTCCCCAGCACCCGAGGGTGACCTTTCACTGTTTCAGGTTCTGCTCTTCCAGATCTAGGTAGGAAACGGGACAGGACATCGGGCAAGTGTATCTCCAGACAGTGAAAGCCGGAAGAGACAGCTCTGTCTTGGAGTGATTCCTTGCTTTTCTCTCTAGCCATCGGGGAGGGTGAATGGAGACTTGTAGAAATGTTTCCCTGAGGGGCTAACAGCTCGGAGAAGCTCACCAATAGAGCAGGAACGAGCTGGGGGCTGAGGTAGCAAACACATTCCAGGAGAGCTCAATGCTCTGAGGAGCTGCAAATGATTGTGTGTGTGTGTGTGTATGTGTGTGTCTGTGTGTGTGTGTATGTATGGTTGTGTGTGTATGTGTGTGTATGTGTGTGTGTGTATGTATGTGTGTGTGTATGTGTGTGTGTATGTGTGTATGTGTGTGTGTATGTGTGTATGTGTGTGTGTGTGTATGTGTGTGTATGTGTGTGTGTGTGTGTGTGTGTGCAAACAGACTGATGAGTTACACAAGCAGTGTTGACAATAAGGTCAGGGGCAACAGGGAGCCGTCGAGGAATGGCAAGGAGTTTGGCCGACTTCTAGAAGTCTGTCCAAGTCAGGCCTCCCAAACTGGCCAGAGTAAAGAGCTCACTCCTGCAGGGTGACAGAGGCAAGATGTCTCAGCCCCTCTCTGTCCCTGTGTGTCTCTGTCTGACACTGGGTCTCCCTTACGCAACCGTACAAACCCCCACACAGGCAGAGGACACTGGGAACTGTCCGGAGCCAGCTGCAGTGCCCAACCATACTGTTTGGAGGATGGGATACACAAAAATCACAGAATCATGGCGAGGCAGGGAGGATGCAGCCAACCTGTGAAGAGCCATTTTTCAAACCTCTCCTCAGGCCTTTATTATCTCTCTCACGGCAAAGAGACAAATTAGTGTCTATTTACTCTAGTACATGGGGCCACCCTGGTCTTGGAGCCCTGCCAGTGATGGCTGTACCCCGTGGTCCTGCGTGTCTAGTGTTCACTATGCGCGCCCTCGGGGGAAGACTGTTGACTGTGGCTCTTCATTGGCACGGTGAGGAGCATTCTGGGGTCTCTGCTCCCCGAGGATTTGGAAGCCACGGCCTTCCACCCAGAGGGCTTTCTCTTCCTCCCAAAGGGCGTGCTCTTCCTCCCAGAGAGACTTTTTATCCTCCCAGAGAGCCCTCTTTTCTGCAAGCAGGGCTCTTTCCTCTACCCACAAGGCCTTTTCCTCCTCCAGTAGGGCCTTGTCCTCCTGAAGGAGATTCCGGTCTCTTTCCCTTAAAGCATTGTCCTCTCTCCAGAAGGCCTTGTCCTCTTTCCAGAAGATTCCGTATTTTTTCCAGAAAGCCTTTTCTTCTTCCAGGAAAGATTTTTCCATTTCCCAGAAGGTCTTTTCTTCTCTCCAGAAGGTCTTCTCTTCTTCCCAGAATGGTCTTTCCTCCCCCTGGAAACCCAGGATCTGGCTCCGGAAAGCCCGGATCTTGCCTCTGAAATCCCATATCTCTTCCCGGAAGTCTTTTATTTTCTCATGGAAAGTTTTTATCTCCTCTCGAAAAGCCTTTTCCTCTTGCATCTTGTGTATTAGTTTCTTCTGACGAATACTGGGTGGGGACAGCACCAGGGACCGGAGGCAAGCCAGCCCCATCCATTTGCTCACCTTGAAGGGAAACATCTTCCAGTCAGCCGGAATGGTGGGTGGCTGTGTTGGCGATTAGTCTGTTGGCCCTCCAGGTCAGTTGGTCAAACCCTGCGAGTACACCAGAGAGAACACGTCCATGAGTATGGGAGGCTTCCTGTCTGATAGCGGAAAATTTAATCACTGCTCTCTTTGAGAGAGGCAAGACTTAGTACAGAAGAACACTCGGTGGCCATGGCTCTGAGCTACTTGATCAGGGATACAAGGTCTAGCATTCCACAAATAATCTTTGCTCAACAAAAACAACAGTGCTAAACTAGGAACCAAAGTGCACAAAGATGATGTGATAATTTAAGGTGGTTCGTGGCAGAACTACTGGGGAACAACAAAGAGATGATTGGTGAGCGCCCGAGAAGGGCCTCAGAGGGGTTGGCAGTGTTCTGTTTCTTTGCTTGGGAAGTGGCTGCAAACACATCATATAAAAAAAGATTTGTAAAATATTTCACACCAGGAAGGGGAAGAGAAGAGAGTAAAGAGAAAGATGAGAAGAAATGGGAAGAGAAGAGAAAGGGAAGTAAGGGGAAGGAGAGAAGAAGAAAGGGAAAGAGGAAGGAGGGGAGGGAAGAGGGGAAAGGAAGGGAAGGGCAGGAAAGGAAAGAGGAGGCAAACGAAGAGGATGAGCATTTTCAACACTTATATATCCGAGGTAGTGTTTATCAGGACAATCCACAATTCAGATAACTACCAAGGCTATCACAGAGTGAGAAAGATGAAGGCTTAGAGTTCAGAGAAAGCTGAATGCAGACAGTGTGTACACTCAGGTGCAGAGATCACATTGTGTGCTTCTCAGAAGCTGGGGTTTGTCCTCAGTGGCCCTCACCAAAGCACTGCAGTGTAGAGCAGCATGGGACATTTGCAGGGGGTTTTCCAGATCTTCCCTGCGTTTTTCTTTCTCTTTTGGCTTGGGATGAGAAAATAAAGACCCTCTCTCCCCCTTCCCTTTCTCTCCCTCCCTCTTTCCTCTTTTTTTCCTCTCTCCCTCCTTCCCTCCCTCTTCCTCTCTTTCCCCCCACTGTGTGCATCTTCATGCTCACTCACACTGGGTGTCTCACATGTTCAAGTTGTTGTAAGACACCTGGGAATTGGATAGTGAACCCCACCAATGGAAGGAGGCGTGTGTGTGTGTGTGTGTGTGTGTGTGTGTGTGTGTGTGTACATGATGCATGTGCATACATGAAGAGATAGTGGCTATGGTGTGTATGGATGTTGACCTCCCCTCTCTCCAGTAACACACACCAGAAACCTGAGGCTCACCTCTGATCTTCTCCTATACCAGACTTCTCCTCAGACACCAAGCCCTATCAGTTCTGATTCTTTACATCTCTTGGAGGTAGGCACACATTTCCTGTTCCATCTTCCCATGGCCACTTCCGGGTAGGATGTCTTTTCCCCTCCTGCCTGGTCGCTACTGTTGGTCTTGTGGTCCAGATTCTCTGCCTACACGGCATAGCCTTCCCCCCTCCTGCATGAATTTCTAAAAATTTGTCCTGGTGCGTCACATTTGCTTTCAAGCAGTCAAAGACTCCAGAGGCTGCAAATCAAAGCCAACCGACTGCCGCTTGTCTGTCTCTTTGCTTCCTTCTGTCTCTCCACTCTGTTCCATGTGGCATATAGCTAGTTCTCTAGTTACAACGTGAGCAGTTTTACCTCTATACCAAAGCACCAATTGTGTCCCCGCTAAGGCTTCCTTCACTTCTGGGGTGGGCTCCAGTTCTTATTTCTCCCTCTCTGTGTCTACGTGCCAGCGTCCTACCGTTACCTGACATACTTGACATTATGTTTGAATGTCTTCCTGCTGTCTCTGTAACCTGGGAGCTAGTAAAACAATGTTGGATGACTATAACTGAATTTAGAACTTTGATTCTGCTCAAGTCATCGTATGGTTCCTGATCTAGAATCCCTGGGAGATGCTAAGTTCTCCATTAGTCCCCTTTCCCTAGATAGCTTGAACTAACTGACCTAACTGATTCTTTCAGATTTAGGCAAGGAGACCCCCTCTCCTCACGGCCACCGAGACTCAGGGCCGCCCTCCTGTCCAGTGAGTAGCCCCATCTCCCATCCCTAGGCACAGTGCCTAGCGTAGTTTCTGCTTCAGAGTAGATGGTCAAGAAACAGCAGCTGAACTGATGGCAATTTCCCGGATTAGAATATAAGAGGAAAAATTGTCCCCCAGTTTTTCTCCCGTTACCACTGCATTGTCTTGGGGAGGGGGGCAGGGGCTGTCAAGGTAGCTTAGTGGGGAAAAGCACTTGCTACTGAGCCAAAAGACCTGCATTTGATTCCTGGAAGCCACATAACGGAAGGAGCGAGCCAACTCCTACCTACAGGTTGTTAATTATGAAGAAAGCCAAACATTAAATTATCATTTTTCTGGACAAGTTTGATTTACATTTATCTTAATAATTATGAGTATCACGATAGGTTATGTTCTCTGTCCTCCGCACATGCACAGTGGTGACACCCTCACACCTACACACACAAACGAATGTAAAAAAGAATGCTCTTAAAATAAATAAAATCAGTAAAATCAAGTATAAATGCATTATATATCAAGAACAGTAGAAAACTGCCTATATGTGTCTATGTAGATACTTTGAAATTCAATAAAAACATGCCTGGTCTTCATAAACATACCAGGCTAGGACTTATTTTGAGGTTACTTACTGCTTAGCTGTTTCCCCAACTGGGAAAGCTCCGTAGCCCTCACGGAGGCAGGCAGTCTTTGTCACATCAGAATCCTAGTGATGCCTCTCTTGGGCCCACCCCTCCCTCCTCACAGTGACCCCTTTGTACTCAGTTCTGAGTCACAGGGTGGAGGCTAACGTGGGGCCCTCGGTGAGAGACCTGTGAAAGGAGAGAGCACCCAGAAGGTTGGAAAGATGGTGACACCTTTCATCTTGGACTTCAGCAATAGTAACTGTATCTCATATTCCGTCGGGTTGTTTCCGGAAGGATCTCTGAACCATGCTTCATGGGGTCATATGTATGTGACGAAGGGCTCTTGTCGCTTGCTCTGTTTGTCTTTGACATTTGGTAGTTTGACTAGGCATGTCTTGGTCTATGCTTCTTTTAGTTTATGCTAGGTGTTTCTGTTGGGATCCTTGGATAGTTGAAGACTTTATCTGGTTTTTCATCCAATTTCAGACAGGTTTTGTCATTTTATCCCATTTCTTCTTTCTGGGATTTAAATTATTCACATGCTTGGAGCAGATGGTGGCCCACGAGTTTCTGAAGTTTTGTTCTTTTGCTTCCTTATTTCTGTCATTTGGACTAGACAATCTCAGTGGATCTGCTTTTGACTTCATGTGTTCTTTCCCCATCGGCTCAAATCTACTATTAAGCTCCTCAATTGAGTTTTTCATTTTCAGCACTAGAACTTATTTTTTTTTTTACCATAGTGAAACTTTTGCTATAGCACAGAAAATTAACAAATCTGTTATTTCACAGAGGTGTTTATCCTTTGAGGGATAATACGTTAAGAACACCCAAAATTTACTTATCAAAAATCTTCAAGGCAACACAGTTTTATCAAGAAGCATGTATCCCAGATATTTGCTTCATCACATTTCACCCATTTCTACCCCACCATTGTTTTATTCTGTTTCTATATATTCAGATTTTTCTTCTTAGATTCCACATGTGAGTGAGATCAGGCAATAGTTTTCTTCTGTGTCTGACTTCATTTAGTAGTAATGTCTTCCAGGCTGATCCAGGAGGCAAATGATAAGATCCCAAGGCTTAATTTATTTCTCTGCTTAAGACAATTTCCTTTTTTACGTCC